ATGGAAGGCTGAGTCAACCTTGAGCCGGTGAGATTAGAACCGCCGAACTGCAGATAGCAGTCAGCTGAAGTGGCCCGCAGTACTGCACCCTAACCACTGCGCCACCTCAGCTCTTGTGTGTGTGGACGGAACCATGAAATGCCAGAAATTATCGCTCGGATGGCCAAAAACTTAATATCGAAGGCAAAAAATAGCCTTGGTTGAGGAACCATTTTTAAGATGTAGAATAAATTTAACTCTCTTCATCATTGTGGCTCACTGCGCAGTCAGCCAGATGTTGAGACCGGATTTGGCGTTTTCATCTACCTCCTGAGTCCTTCCCATAGGCAGATGTTGCTGTTCAACAGTGTTCGTGTTCGCAGGATTTAAGCTGCTCCGAGCCAAGCTGCCTTTTTGCAATTGACCGGACAGTGAACTTGTCAATGCCGAATTTTTAAAAAAAATAATAATAATCCTTTCCTCTTTTCTTGCAGAGGTTCTTATCGTCCCGAGGTAAAGTTGTTTAAGAACCCAAAACACAACGCCAAACTGGGTTTATAAGAATGGTAGGTTAATCAACTGCCCTGGGAGGGAAGTAAAGGAGATTTGCCCAGATTTGGGTGCAGGAGAATGGATTGTATTGCGAGAAAATCGGATCGGGGTGCTGCCTCTCCCCTCTTCTGGCCTTTCTGTAACAGTGAAGTAAATCAAACCTGCATTAACTACCCAGTGTCAGGTTGCAAGTCTGTAGCCAAGATGGTCTTTCATCATAATCCCCAACAGGAGACTTGCCAACCCCGTGACTCCCAGCACTGGCAGCCTGGAGGGCATCGGGAACTGCCAAGGCCGATAAAATTAAACCCCGCGGGCTAATTTTAGCCTAAGGAAAAATCCAGTGGAGGCGATAAAAGAGACGCTCCATTTCAGAACGCCTTTGGCAAAACCTTGAGAAAGGTTGAAACGCTTCAGGTTTAATTTAATTTTAACAGAGTTGGAAGGGGACCTTGGAGGTCTTCTAGTCCAACCCCCTGCCTGGGCAGGAAACCCTACATCACTTCAGACAAATGGTTTATCCAACATTCCAGTGTTGGAGGATTCACAACTTCTGGAGGCAACTTCTGTTCCACTGATTAATTGTTCTCACTGTCAGGAAATTTCTCCTC